AGGGGCTGCTTTGGTCCAACAACTCCCCCATAAAGAATAATTAGAGATCCAGCTGCAAATTGTTTCCTCCCACTTATGCAAATGAGGGAGGTAAGAGGCATCTAATGAAATGTTTGTACTTTAACACGCCGTGGTGTGAAGGAAGATGAATTTTAATTACTGGCTCTTAATTGTTTGGTTGGCCTGTTAATATCCTATTTACACAGCATTAATACAATTTGCTCTCTGCCAGCAGGGCTCTTCCTCGTGGTGGGTGAGGATGACTTTCAGGGTTTTATTGCATAAAATAAAGCCATTTTGCCAAAGCCAACACAATTTTGGGGTGGGCAGTGGTGAGGTTGGGGATGCTCAGTCCTCTTGGTGCTCAGCTTTTGGGTGGCTTGAATGAAAAGCTGAATATTGAAGGAAAATATTCAGATTAGATGTTAGGAAATATTTTTTCCCCTGTTAGGGTGTTCAAGCACTGGAATAGGTTTTTGCCCAGGGAGGTGGTGGAGTCACCATCCCTGGAAGTCATGCAGCAGAAATAGCTGATGGATACAGGAATAGAGATGGATGTGGGAAAGTGGAGTCATGGGGAGATGACACCCCATGGAGGTGTTTGAGTCATGGATGGAGCCATGAAAAGATGCTCAGGAAATTCTCCCCTGTATTTTTCAGGCACTGGAATAGGTTTTTGCCCAGGGAGGTGGTGGAGTCACCATCCCTGGAAGTCATGCAGCAGAAATAGCTGATGGATACAGGAATAGAGATGGATGTGGGAAAGTGGAGTCATGGGGAGATGACACCCCATGGAGGTGTTTGAGTCATGGATGGAGCCATGAAAAGATGCTCAGGAAATTCTCCCCTGTATTTTTCAGGGTCTGGAATATTGCCCAGTGGGGGAGTCGAGTCACCATCCCTGGGAGTGTTTAAGAGGTGTCTGGATGTTATGGTTTAGGGTTTAGGGGTTACAGCAGTGACAGGTTAATAGTTGGACTTGATGATCTCAGAGGTCTTCTCCAGCCCTGCTGATTTTATGATTCTAAACCACGAGCAGTTTGGAAACACAAACAGCTCCTCCAACTCATATTCCCCCTTTCCAAAAGGACCATCTCCTTTGGAACTTGATGCTGAGTCCATGTGTCACCTCCCATTCCACTTGCTGTTGTTAACTTGTGTAACAACACTTATACCTCTGTTGAAAGGGGAAAAAAATCAAACAAACAGTGCAGCAGCTTTCTAGGAGGAAAAACTCAAGATCAGCAAAATTTGGCCACTCTGGATGGGCCCAGCTGCAAATCCTTCGCTGGCTCTTGTCCCTTGCAGCCCTCCTGGGCTAACAAGGAGAGGCAGTAACATATTATAATTGTAAATTGTCCTGGAATATCATAAATAAAGTATCACCAGAGCTGGGAAGGGAGAGGGAAGGTATTTGCTGTGCTCACAGGAACGAGAGCAACTGCTGCTGTTTAATCTTTAATGAACAAGATGTTGCAAAGTGCTGCAAGTCACAGTGCGTTTGCTTAATGCTGCTCAGCCCCAGCATGTGGGGGTGACATCCCTGTCCCTAGTGCTTTGTGCCTGGCCATGAACCTTCCAGGCTGCTCATCACCCCTTGTGCCAGGCATCATCTTCCTCTGGTTGGGAACAGGGAGCAGGATCACTCCCTGGTTTTCTGGGAGGGGATTTGCAATCTGTTGTCAGCCCAACTGGCTCTTTTGCAAGGGCAAAGTGTCTCCTCCTCTCATAAATCCTGGAAAATGATGAAAATCAGCTTTGCACTGATTAAGGGAGTCCTGGTCCCTGTTTTCCTATTCCCTACTTGGATTTGCATCCCATTCTGGCCCAGGCTTGGGGAAGTGAGTGTGGAAAGCACTGGAGGAACTGGTGTGAATTATGTATAAGCCTCACTAATCACAGGCTGATTGAAATGATGAGGTGTTAATATTATCCCTCCATCGCCTCTGAGGGGATGTGGTGGCACCTGAAGGATGGTGGGACGTGATGGAGGTGGATGGGGCAGCTGCATCCCCACGTGTCCTCTCCTCCAGATCCATCCCGAGGCATCTGATCCATGGAAATGCTGTGGTTGCTCAAAATGACTATCCCTAAATACAGGAATGGGGGCAGGGTCATAGAATCACACAACAGTCAGAGCTGGAAGGGACCCTTGAGGATCATCTAATCCAACTCCTGCCCTGTACAGGACATCCCTGAGATTCCCACCCTTTGCCTTAGAACATTGGCCAAATGCTCCTGGAGCTCTGTCAGCCTTGGGGCTGTGACCACTGCCCTGGGGAGCTGTTCAGTGCCCAAACACCTTTGGAGGAACAACCTATGCCTAATATCCAGTGTAAACCTCCCCTGACACAAATTCCAGAGAGAAAGTACATGTCTCAAAGGGGTAAAGTCCATCATCACCTGTGGCTGCCTCATTCCTGGAAGTGTTCAAGGCCAGGCTGGGGCAACCTGTTCTAGTGGAACATGGCAGGGTGTTGGAACTACGTGGGCTATAAGGTCCTTCCAACCCAAACCATTCCACGATTCTCTGTTCAGCTTGAAGTTAGCTTTTTGGGAAGCACTGGGAGGTGAGAAATCAGGGAATGGAGGTACTGGTTGATATGAGCAGATGACTGTTTAATTTAGATGTAGGTTAAAAGATCCCAAGTATGTGGGGAGGATGGGAAGGGGTTTCCTGGTGGTGCTGGGACACACTGAAAGGCTCCATCACCCCAAGGGCTCCAAGGGGTGCTGTGATGTGTTGTCCTCGGGGGGCTGCCACCCACCCAACCACCCACCCAACCTCTCACTCCTCTGTCGTTCCGGGGGTACCTCAGCCTATTTGGAGGGTTCAGCCACATATGCTTCATCCCTAGAAATCCCCATGGGGTGTGTGGCTGTTGTTGTGTGCCAAAATCCCTGATGGGATTTTGAAATGAGGCAGAAATGGGACTTTTTTTTGCCTCAATGGAAGCATCTAGCCTCATCCTCCACATCCATGGCCAGAGTGAAACCTGCCTCCTCCCTCGCAGCTATTTTGTAATTGAAAGCACTGAGCATGTTCCAATGTGCTCCTTTTATTAATGTGTCACTCCTGATTTAAAAGGACATTTCATTTATCTCTCCCTTCCCCCTCCTCCCCCCTCCCCTTTTCTTTTATCCCCCTTAAACTGGATGTCGCAAGAATTCCCACTGCTTGCTAGCAAAAATACTCTTTTCTCCCCAGGGATGCTATCTAATCAGAGGGATGAATTTCCATAGGTCTGAATCTAATCAGAGGGTGGCCTGGCACACCGTTCACTAGAAAATATGTCTTATTTAAAGGAGCAAAGGGGAAGGAGAGAAGCCTGGGGGTTCGGAGCTGCCTTTGGGATGCTGATAACGCAAGGGATGACGGAGAATTTGGGTCGGGCTCCTCCTTTGGAGGTGCAAATCTGATGCTCAGCCCTTTTAAAATAGTTCTTCAATTCAGCAATACCTGTCACTGCTGGTTGCTTCTCCCCAGTAAAGCTAAAAAAGGGCCTAAATTGTGGATTTTGAGGAGTGGTGACACTTCACAGTTGTCCTCTGTCGGAAAGCGAAGGGAAGGGGAGGATGAGGGATGAGATTCGCACATCAACCACAGCAAAACAGCAGGTTTTGGACGGCTCCATCTGGATTTCTGTTTTATTTTTCAGTGCCTGACTTTGTTTTCCCTGCTTTTCCCCCTCCCCTACATACATCCTTAGCATTTTGGGGCCTGGCTCCTGTGGGGACTGTGCATCTGTTTCTCTCTGCTCTCCCTCTCGCTCTTCCCTCCTTCTTTTCCACATCTTCTGGAGTGATTTTGTTCTGAATTTGAGCTTTGACACTCTTTGAGCAGGTGGGGTTTCACCTTCCCTCCCCTTCCAGGCACTGCTGGGGCTCTGGCATCAGCACTCTGCAGGGTCCCTGTCCCCCCAGCCCTGCTGCAGTAAATCTTGTTGCTCCAGAGCTTTGCCTTTTCCATGCAGGATCTGCTCAGGAGAAGTGCAGGAGCATCCTATGGTTACACTCAGGCATTTTCAAAGGACTAGTTATCTAAATTTAAGGACCAGCCAAGCTAAAATTACCAGGAGTAGAAGTGGAAGCTGCTCCCTTTGCTATCTCAAAGTGGTTTTACAGCACATGAAGGGAGCAGAGGGGGGGAAAAAAAGCTCATTTTGGCTTCTTTTGACCCATCCAGATAATGCAGGTTGGGAAGGTGTTTGCAGGGGGATTTGCTGGGGAAATGCTTGGGCTGATGCATTTGCTGCACATGAGTGTCTGGGGCCACCCAGATTATGAGGAGTAGAGGTGGAAGCTGCTGCCTTTGCTATCTCAAAGTGGGTTTGCAGCACATGAAGGGAGCAGAGGGGGGAAAAAAGAGCTCATTTTGGCTTCTTTTGACCCATCCAGATGATGCAGGTTGGGAAGGTGTTTGCAGGGGAATTTGCTGGGGAAATGCTTGGGCTGATGCATTTGCCTTACCTGAGTGGAGGAGAGTGACTGGGGCCACCCAAGCTTGGGTATTTTTGACTTTAAAAGCCACCAAACACCAGGAGATGGTCTTAGCACCACCAAAACATCCGGGATGGAGATGCTTCCTCTTCCCATTGCAGCACACAGGCTCTGAAAGGGAATACCGTGGGAAGAGGGCTGGAAAACCATCTGGAGATGCTGCAGTTATGAGCTGGGAACTCCTGTGTCTCAGTAGTTCGTAAGCACGAGGGAAAATGCAATCTTAGCTCCGACTTTGTCACCGTCGGTTCTGCCGTCGGCTTTGTCTAATCGCCCTGTTGATCCTCGCCGGGGGTAGGAGGGAGGTGGAATTTCGCCCGGAGGCTCCCAGAGCTGCTTGCTGAAGTCAGAGCTTTTCCGCACGCATGGAGACTCTGTCCCCTGCACGAATCCATCCCCCATTTCCTTTGGGCAGCTGCTACTGTGCTGCCAAACATTTGCTCATCCTCCTCCCTTTGCTCCGTGCCTGTTGCTCATGTTGCTTTTGGAAATGTCAAAAGTGAAGCGAGGGGAATCGGGGCAGTCGCTGCAAGACCTCGTCTGACCTTCCTCACATCCCTCCTCCTCCTCCTCCCTCTCCCATCACTGCCTCTTTCTATCTGCAAAGCCCCGAATTCAAGGGGACCTCGTGCTGCGTTGGCAATCGCAAGGAATTAATCCTGATTTAGCAAGCTAAAATAAACCCTGGCCAGCCAAGGGAGAGGCTGGAAAGACTCTGGCCCTGATGGAGCAGGGATGCTGGTGAGGATTTGGGTTGCTCTCAGCATGAGGGAGGTGCCAGGATGAGTTCCCAGTGATGCAATCTTAAATTCCATCTTTCTATGCAGACACATCATTGATGCTCGAGTGGCAGTGCAGGGGCAGCACTGATCTCTGCTCTCTGGCAACCTGTGGCAGGACCTGAGGGAATGGTCTGAAGTTGTCAGGGGAGGGTTAGGTTGGATATTAGGAGATGATTCTTCACCCAGAGGTGTTTGGGCACTGAACAGCTCCCCAGGGCAGTGGTCACAGCCCCAAGGCTGACAGAGCTCCAGGAGTGTTTGGCCAATGCTCTCAGGCACAGGGTGGGATTCTCAGGGATGTTCTGTGCAGGGCCAAGAGTTGGACTAGATGATCCTCAAGGATTCTTCCAACTCTGATTATTCTGTCATTTCAGGGCTGGATGCAGCTAGGCATTAGGATGTTAGGATTTAGTCTAGATATTAGGAAACAGTTTTTTCCTGTGAGGGTGGTGAGACACTGTCCCAGGTTGCCCAGGGAGGCTGTGGCTGCCCCAAGCCTGGCAGTGTTCACAGCCAGGTTGGCTAAAGCCTTGAGCAACCTGCTCTGGTGGGAGGTGTCCCTGCCCAGGGCAGGGGGTTGGGGCTGGATCATCTCTAAGCTCCATCCCAACCCCTAAAATTCTCTGAGTCTCTGATTCTATGATTTCACCCTCACTCTGCACCCACTATGATACACCCCAAAACACCTCCAAAAAATCCCCAAACCATTTTTTCCCCCCTATATTTCCTTACATCCAGCTGGCTGCAGCAGCAAAGCTGCTATTGTAGCCCCCCAAAAGCAGCACTAGAAGGGTTTCTCCAGGTTCACAGCCCCATGCTCAATATGCCAGGCCACACTGCCTCGCTGGCGCAGCAGCACGTGTGTGTGGAGCGTGCTCTCCCGCAGGTCCTGCCTCAGATTTATAGCAAAAACACCGACAAGTTGTTTTACAAGTGATGCTGAGCCTTGATTCACTGGTGGGGGACAGGGAAAATCACCTTCTGCTCTTTGAGGGCATTTGTCTGCAAAGGAGGCTCTGGTTTTGCAGCTCTGTTTCCATCCCTGCTCCTGTTTTCCCAGTGCTCTGAACTTTGTCTGTGTTGTTTTTCCTCCTGATTCAAGCAGTAATTAGAAGAAAAAGGATTTTTGCAGTGGGTTAAGGGTTGTTCTGGGGTGTCCTGGTTGCAGATGGTGTTAAATGGGTGTGATCAGGGTACAGGCTGCTAAAGAAAGGCTTGGATCTGCCAGGCTGTCAATCTGTCATCTTCCAACAGCCTGAGGAAATAGAGAAAAAATAAAATAGGAATGCAATTGCCTGCCCTCCTGACCCTGCCTGCTCCGTGCTCCTGCAATAGTTTTGCAGCAAATCGAGGGGAAAGAGGGAGGAAACGACCAGACAGAGCCACCCGTGCTCTGATTTTCCCTCAGCGACGAGGATGGATTCAGCATCCAGCTAGGGGGGAGATAGGGAAGGAGCAGGCTGTGAGCCAAGGCTGGGCTGTAAAAACACAGGTTGGGGTTTGTGTGTCTTCTGATGAATCTGTTGGCTCCATTCCCATAAGGAATGAGCAATTTAGGGAGTTTTTAAGCAAGCACAGGGCAGGGAAATGTGGTCTGCAGTGGGGAGAGAGCCAGTGTGGGGCAGAAGATGGTGGAAACGAAGTCAGTGCCAGTATCTTCACAGGAAGGATGAGCTGGAGTTTGTGGAGGGGAAGAGTGGGATTTTCCCAAATTCAGGAAGGATTTTCTTCAGCTTGTCTTTTTTTTTTTTTGGTTTATTGGGAGCAGCCAAAATTCCTCACTGTGAGAGGACAAGACACCACACTGATGGGCTTGTCCCTGCTGTGAGATGCAGCCAACGCTCACTCCCTACAGCAAAGCTATACCATAAACCATCCCAGAACACTATTCTAGCACCTTGCCCATCCTTCCCTGGCAGCTCATCCCTCTTTTTCTCCCTGTTTTTCCCCTTTCCAGCTTACCTGACGGTCAGTATCGAGCCGTTGCCTCCCGTGGTGGTGGGAGACGCTGTCACTCTGAAATGCAACTTCAAGACGGATGGGAAGATGAGGGAGATCGTCTGGTACCGGGTAAGCGGCGCCAAAGCCTCTTCCCTGCCCTTGGGGATGGGAATGTGAAGCCACTGACTGCTTTGCTCCTGGAGGACAGAAGGTCAAGGCTGGATGGAGAAGGGAAAGGCAGACAGAGCTCTCTCTGATGGGAATATCGATTCCAGGAAGGAGGCAGGCAGGCTGGCTGCTGGCAACCTGGGTGGGCAGGGATGTAGGATGGCTTTGTGATCATCCTAAGAGCTCCAGGAGACTTTTTCCAGGTGTTTTGTTAGGTTTTCCAGGTGGATTTGGGGTTGATAGGCTCAGCTCGGTGCTGGGGGTTTACACGGAGGGTTGGTGCTGGTTGGGATTTGGGAGTCTGGAGCTCAGGTCAGCACAGCTTATAAAGAGGATTTGCATGTTGGGTGTGAAGTGGTGCAAAAAAAGAGAGAGGGGAAGGGGGAAATTAGGGGGAAAACGTGGGAAATCAGGCAAAATTGAGGTGTTTGAGGCTTGGGGAGCAATGCTGAGCTCTTCATGTTGACTCTTCACGTTGGGCTCTTCAAGCCTCCCCCAAAAACCTTTCTCATCTGTGTCCCTGAAGTATTTATGGGTATGGGATGCAGATCTGGAGGGAAGCAAGACTGACAGCATCTGGTGTTATTTGGGCAGGGGGAATTTGAAGGCTGGAGCTTCCCTCCCTACCAGCATCACTCCTGTCTGCACTGAGCCTTGTTCCAGCCTCAGACGTAACAAACCAGAACAGTACTTTTGGCTTTCTCCAGGGAATTTCAGGATAAGCTGCTAAACACAAACAAAACCCTCATGGTGCTTTGAGCAGAGAAAACCTGAAGTTTTCCAGGATGGGAAAAACTCAGTTCTTTGATCATGGAGGAGGGAAAGAAAGGGCAAACAGGTTTGGTAGCATCGGATGAAGTAGCTGCCTTTCACCTAGGAATATTTTTCCTTGGGCTTACCATCTTGTTTCTGCTCCCTGAACAAGGAGCATCTCTGCCTTAAAGCTCTTCTTCACATCCAGCAGGTTTATAAATAGGAAAAGGTACTCTCTGGACTGATATATATTCAGTTGCTGAAGTGTGGTGTGTGCACAGGAGTATTTCCATCAAGTCTTGGCTGGTTTTTGCTATAAATATCTGTATGTAGACACACATAACATTTAGGAGCACACCTGAATGGTGGATAGGAGAGTCAAGCAGAAGAATGTCATCAAAAAAAACCCCAAACCTGCCCCAAACTCTCAACTGCAGCTTGTAATTGGCTTTGTCTCCCCCTTCTTTTGGGGAGAAGGTTTTTTCCTGCCAGCACTGCCATCACCACTAGGTTTTTCCTTCCCTTTTCCACTCAGTAATATTGGATTAACCCACTTTCTCGTGTGCTGGGGCTGGATTTGCATAATCCCCCTGCGAGGAGGGCTGCAGGAGAACCTCAGTGAGAGGCTGATGCACCAGGGCGGCCGAGCAAATTATGCTCTGTGAAACCACAGAGAGAATGGGAAGGGAAAAAATAGCCCAGCTTTTATTTTTATCACCACAAATCCCCCTTTCTTCCAGTTCTTTTTTACCCCCCTCTTCCCTTTTTCTCCTTCCCCAGCAAGTTTCCTGCATTTGGAAGTTGGGTTTTCATGGAGCAGCTCAGGATTTCTTGAATTCCCTCCTGATTTTAGTGGGTTTATCCACTTTTTTCCTCCCATTTTGTCTCACTCATGGACTTTTGCAGCTGCCCAAACCTCCCCAGCTGCAGCTCCCTCATGCAGGAGGTGATGGATGGATTCAGGGAGCCGAGGAGGAGATGCTGGAGCTAAGGAGTTATATTTATACCCCTTGTAAATCATCCTAACACAGCAGCAGAGCAGTGGAGCAGGGTGATGTGGGGCCTCACTGGGGCTCCTCTTTCCTATGGTTTATTTGACAGGGAGCAGAGTGAGCTCGTTGAGTTTTAAGGACGCTGAGCTGCTCCAGGGGCACATGTCAGGCTGCAGGAGGGGGAAGGCAAAAGAAGGGAGCATGGAAGCAAACTCAATGGCAGAGGTTTTGTAGGGCATTGGCTGGGTGCATAGCCCATGGGATGCATCCACAACCCATGGGGTGCATCTATAACCCTTGGGATGACTCCATAACCCATGGGGTGCATTTATAACCCATGGGATGCATCCATAACCTATGGGGTGCATCCATTACCCATGGGATGCATCTATGACCTATGGAATGCCTCCATGACCCATGGAATGCCTCCATAACCCACAGGGAGTATCCATAACCCATAGGGTGCATGCAGAACTCATTGAGAGTGTGGATAACCCATCAGGGTGCAGGGTGGGTGGATAGACCATAGGGTGTGTGTAGCAGACCAGGAGCATCCATAACCCATTGAGGTGTGTGTATAACCTGTCAGGGTGTATGTATGACTTATGGGGTGCATAACCTGTTGGGAGTGTGGAAAACCATGGAGTAGGTGCTTAATGCACTGGGGAACATGCATAATCCATCAGGATGCAGCCATAACCCATGGGGTGCCTGTATGACTCATTGGGAGTGTGCATGACCCATCAGGGTGCATGTATAACCTGTCAAAGTGGGTGTATAACCCATCAGGAGCATGTGTAACCCATTGGGGTGCAACCATAACCCACAGGGTGCATCCATAACCTATGAGATGCATCCATAACCCACAGGTTCATCCTTAAACTCTTCAAGGGTGGATGTATAACCCAAGGAGTGAATCCATAACCCATGGGCTACATCCATAACCCATGATTGTGGGTGTATAAGGGCACATTCATAACCCATGGGGTGCATCCACAGCCTATGGGGGTTTTGCTATAACCCATGGGGTGGGTGCATAACCCCTTGGGGTGCATCCATAACCCATCAGGATTCATCCATAACCCATGGAGTGCATCCATAACCCATGGAACACATCCATAACTCTTGGGGTGTATCCATAACCCGTGGGATACATCCATATCCCCAGTGTGGATGTATAAACCCCTCTGGGTTTATACACACCAAGGCTGAAACTGATGAGGAGCTTCTTACCAAGGGGAAAATCCCTCCAAGAAGCACCACACTGCAAATCAGCACCTCCAGATCCTCTCTCCATCCCCTGGGAGCTCCATGGGAGGGACAGTAAGCAAGGCTGGCAGTAAGGGACAACCTTATCCTCAGGTCAGAAAACCCCTCAGTGTGAGCCACCAAAATGCAGCAGATTTCAGGAGACCTGAGAAGAGCAAAGGGACTTTTTCACAGCATGAACAACAACATGCACCATCTGCAGAGGTGTTAATTAACATTCCCCCACCCCTTCCACCATCAAATCACCTCCAGAAGGTGTGATATGCCCGTGAACATGTATAAACATGGGTCTGAACTCCTTGCCCCTTAGGTGAGTGCCCACAAACCCCTTGCAGGAGCAGAGGGTGGTGGCAGCCGTGCAAACCAGCCTGTAATGAGGCCAGGAAGACCCGGAGCTGTCAAGCTGTTATCTGGCTCCAGCGCTGGCGTCTCGGGGGTCGTGCTCAAGACCTGATTAGTATGGTCACTGCCACGCAGTGCGAGGGATAGGGAGGGAGAAAATGAGTTTTTGCAGCAGTGCAGAGCTCTAAAAAAAATAATACAGAAGCAGGAGAGGGAGGGGAAATCCTCTGAGTCTCTGTTCTGGCTCGGTACAGACATCTGGCAGCAGAGAGGGAAGAGGGAGAGGCAGCAGCCAGGCTGTACACACAGCCAGGGGCTCGGATGGTGCTTGGATCAGCTGATGGTAATTGCAAAAAAGTGGTTTGCAGCTTTGTGGTGTCAGACAAGGGCCAGGAGTGATTCCCTGGTGCAGAGCAGTGCTCCCACGCTCGCTCTCCCTCTGCCTGGTGCTGGCTGGGGGCTTGGCCCGGGGCTGTATGGCAGAGAGAGTGGGGATGGAGGGCAGCCCGCGGGGCTGGGGGCAGACGCTCTGCTGTGAGTAATTAGAGTTTGGTGCTCAGTCTAATTAGCAAGAAGAAAAATAACTCTGAGCTGGAGCTGGCAATGCTGGCTTCTCTCTTGTATGGGCAGTGCTCCTTGTAGCACCCATGGGGCACAGGCATTGCTCTCTGTAGTAGCCTTGCTCATTGTAGTATCCATGGTGGATGGGCGTTGCTGTCCGTAGCACCCATGGTGTATGAGTATTGCTCCTTGTAGTATCCATGGAGTAATGGACATTTCCATAGCACACATGGTGCATAGGCATTGCTCTCTGTATCATCTATGGTGTATGGGTGTTGCTCATTGTAGTACCCATGGTGCACAAGTATTACTCCCTGTAGCACCTGTAGTGCACTTGCTCATTGTAGTATCCATGGTGGATGGTCATTGCTTTCCATAGAATCCATGGTGTATGGGTATTGCTCTTTGTAGTATCCATGGTGTATGGGTAGTTACCTAACACCTATGGTGTATGGGTATTGTTCATTGTAGCATCTATGATGTACAGGCCTTGTTCTCTATAGTACCCATGGTGTATGGGATATTGCTCCTTGTAGTATCTATGGTGTATGGTAATTGTACCCATGGTGCACAGGCATTGCTCTCCATAGTAGCCTTGCTCATTGTGGTATCCATGGTGTATGGACATTGCTCTCCATAGTAACCTTGGTGTATGGGAATTGCTCCTTGTAGTATCCATGGTGTATGGGTAGTTACACAGCATCCATGGTGTATGGGAATTGCTCCTTGTAGCACCCATGGTGTATGAGGATTTCTGTAGCACCCATGATGTATGGGGTTTGCTCCTTGTAGCATCCACAGTGTATGGGTATTTCCATGGCACCCATGGTGTATGTACTTGCTCCTTGTAGTATACATGGTGCACAGGCACTACTCTCTGCAGCACCCATGGTGTGTGGTTATTGCCTCTTGTAGTATCCATGGTGTATGGTAATTGCTCTCTCTAGCCCCCCCAGCTCGGTGTATGTGCATTACAAAGCACTTTGCTCTGAGGGTCTCTCTCTGCCTGGCAAAGACTGGGGGGATTCCAAAATCTGCCAGCACAGCAAGTGGGGGCTGATGTATTCCAGCTGGTGGTGGCACTGCTCAGAGCCACCTGATCGATGGTGACAAAGCACTGTCCCCGCGGGGACTTCCTCTGCCACTGCCCATTAGGAGCAATGAGACATTACAGCTCCGGCCAGCAGCTCCCACGGTGGCTCCGAGCGGGAAATGTTGCTGGTGACAGTGATAAAGTCACTGCTTGCAGCAGCACCGGCTCCAGAGGAGGGGCAGGAGGGGTGGGGGGGCCAAGCGAAGGGCACACGATGTGCTGAGGCTATTCCAAATCTTTTCCTTGTGCTGGGAAAGCCCAGAGCCTCAGCAAATTTGGGATGCTCAGGAGGAGACACTGGGGTGTGGGAGGGGTGAGTGGGGTGAAGGAGCCAAGCAGCAGGCACATGATGTGCTGAGGCTGTTCCAAATCTTTTGCCGATGCTGGGAAAGCCCAGAGCCTCAGCAAATTTGGGATGCTCAGGAGGAGACAGGAGGAGGGGGCAGGTGAGGTGGAGGAGCCAAGTGAAGGACACATGATGTGCTGAGGCTATTCCAAACCCTTTCCCTGTGCTGGGATAGCCCAGAGCCTTGGCAAATTTGGGATGCTCAGGAGGAGACAGGAGGAGGGGGCAGGTGAGGTGGAGGAGCCAAGTGAAGGACACATGATGTGCTGAGGCTATTCCAAACCCTTTCCCTGTGCTGGGATAGCCCAGAGCCTTGGCAAATTTGGGATGCTCAGGAGGAGATGCTGGGAGGAGATTGGGGAGATGGAGGAGCCAAGCAAAGGGCACACGTGCTGAGGCTGTTCCAAATCCTTCCTATGCCATACAATTCTGTTGGGAAAGCTCAGAGCCTTGGCAAATTTGGGATGCTCATGAGGAGACACTGGGAAGGGACAGGCAGGGTGTGGAAGCCAAGCAAAGGGCACACATGATGTGCTGAGCTGCTCCAAACCTTTTCCCTATGCTGGGAAAGCCCAGACCCTCAGCAAATTTGGGATGCTCAGGAGGAGACACTGGGATGCTGCATTTTACCCCTCACTCCTAGAAAACATCTCCCAGAAACTCAAATCCCACTCCAAGTTTTCAAGTCAACCCAATTTACAATGTGTTGTGCTTCCAATTTCCAAACCTGCTTCCCTTTAGGAGCAACCTCCAGTTTTATAGATGTGGAGAAATTTTCTAAAATCCCAGCAAAGCTGCTGATGGAGAGATTTTGGGCCGGCAGCTGTGAGAAGTCTGACTCGTGCCATTCATCTCAGCGCTGGCTGGGTTGGCTCCACACCTCAGAGATGATAATTTAAGTGTCAGGATGGGGAACTCTTTTAATTCCTCATGCTCAGGCAGGGAGAGAAGGTCATGAGCATCAACAGAGTTTATTGAGTTCTCCATTCTGAGGGCATCAGCAGGGAGACCGGGATGTGCCTCCCAAAATTGCACAAGCCTCTTATAATATTGATTGGATCATTCATGTGGTTTAGGGATGTTGGAGAAGGGGGTAGTGATGCCCTTCAGGGATGGAGGTGGGTCATGATGTGCATTTTGGGATGAAACTATCTGGATTTGAGCAAATAAAGCAGCTACTCTGTGTTTTTGGAGGGTAAATTTGATGCTGGTGGCTGTGAGCAAGGGAGGAGTGAGCAGTCCAGTGAGCTCAGGGAGGGAGGTTGGATCTCAGCCAGCAGAGCTAAATGTGGAATCTCAAGGGAGCAGGTGAGGGAGGCAGAAAAAAAAGCTCAAAAAGGGGTTTTCCAACATGATGAGTTTCTCTCTGTGGCTCAGACGTGCACTTGGACACTGCAGACCCTAGTGATGTGTACTTGGACACTGCAGACCCCAATGCTCCCCTCCAAACACCCTGAGCATTGCAGTCACTCCTTGAAGTCCCTCCAGGGTATTTTTCCTCTTTCCATAACAAGTGCTTGTCCATTTGCTTGGAGAAATGATGTCCATTAAGCCCCAGGACACAAAGTCTGGACTGGAGCCCAATGATGCCCCTTTACAAGCCACTTTGTCCCCCAAAATCACTCCCTCCATCCCCTTGGTCCCACATCCATCACTTCCCAATACTTATCGAACCCTCTGAACATCCCAGCAAGAGGTTCCAGTGATATTAATGGTACTGATGTATTTTGGGGACAGCAAATGGTCAGGTCACCAGCGAGGTGAGGGTGGCAGGAGGGAGCTGCCTCTGTGACAGCAGGAAGGAGCAGGAGGTTAATGTGTCCCTGTGCAGTGGCAATCTCAGGGTTTTTGTCAGGAATAAGATTTTTACTGGGATCTATAAATAATGCATCATGTAGCCTCGGGCTGGCTGAGCTGGGCTCCGATGCCTTAAACGTGCTTTTCCTCTCCTCATGCCCCTTTTCCTTACACTCCTTGATGTGGAGATATAATTTGGGACAGTCACCATTGGCTGCTGCTCAATTATCATCCTTTTTTATCCCCAGCAGGAAACATGGGGTTTGGCTGCTCTCACACCCCCCTGGGCTTATCAGCAACTTTATATATGGAGCTCCTCTCCAAAAAAATGACCCCAGGGCACAGATGAAAGGCTGAAAGTAGGTCTAATCCCTGGAGAGAAACTATTTTCTATGTGCCTTTTCCTAGGAGCCTATTAACTGCCTGTAATCCCCTGAGGATGTGCCCAGGCTTTGGCATCTTCCCTTGCTGTGTATCCTCAGGGGATGTGAGGGGTCCGTGGAGGAGTGAACAGTGGCATGAATGATACTTCCAGCTGCATTTTCCCACTCCTCTCCTTGGATGGAGCTTGATGTTGTACCCACATCCATCCAGATGTGTTGGGAAACTCCTGTGGCTGCAAACTCCTGGTCTGTGGGTGTCATCTCCACCACTCCCCATCCCTGGAGCTTCCCTCCTGGCACTGTTGTATCCCTAAAATAATCCCTAAAACCCCTTTAAGATGATATACAAAGAGTTTCTCCATCCAGGAGCAGCTCTGAGATTTCTCTTCAAACTTACCCCAGGGGGTAAATAAGTCAGGGAAAATCAGATGTGTCCTTGAAAACTTCTCCTGGTTCCCAGGGCCAGAGATTTACAGCTCCAATAATTCTTCCTGCAGTTCTTTATCTCATGTCTGTGCCAGCATGTATTTTCTTTGCCATAAAAGCCTCAGTCTGGGTGAATAAATTTGAAGAGGTGGTTTACTGACAGCTTTTTTTTCTACTGTTCCCTCCCTTTTTGCCATAAAAGAGGGGGAAAAGAGGAATTCTAGAATCAAAGAGGAGTTTTGTCCCAGTGGGAGAGAAGTGTTGAGTGGGGAGAGTGGGATCTTGTCCCCAGGAGATGCTGATTTGGGAGGATCAAGCCTCAGAATTACCTGTGTCTGATTTGTTTTTAAAAATATCACTATTCTAACCCTCTGATGGATCAATCTGAGCTGGTTTAGCCCCAAAATGCACATCTCCACCTGCATTGCTTCCCTCTGCCTCTTCCTCTTTAATTTCCTACTAAAATTCCTTCTCACAAGTGTGGGAGATAAATCTGAAGGCACTGAGAGACATAGGGGAGAAACAAGTCCTCCCCAGTCCTAAAAAGAGCCTTTTTTCCACTTAAAAATTACAACCTCAGCAAGTACCTGGAGACTGGAGTCAGGAATGTGATAACTGGATGAAAACATGTGGATTTTGCCTTTCATCTCATCAGGCTTAATATAAATAAATAATATTTATTGAACATCAAGAAAGATATCGAGTGCACAGTCAGGAAGTTTGTAGATGACACCAGGCTGGGAGGGATGTGGAGCTGCTGCAGGGCGGGAAGCTCTGCAGGGAGAGCAGGACAGGCTGATCCATGGGACAGGGTGTGAGGTTCAACAAGGCTAAGTGCTGAGTCCTCACTTGGGTCACCACAACCCCATGGATGCTCCAGGCTCAGGGCAGAGTGGCTGGAGAGCTGGGAAAGGACCTGGGGGTGGTGGTGGCAGCGGCTGGACATGAGCTCAGGTGTGCCCAGGTGTGCCCAGGTGGGCAAGAGGCCAATGGCACTTGGCTTGTACCAGCCATGGTGTGGCCATGGGACCAGGGCAGTGACCATCCCTCTGTGCTGGCACTGCTGGGACACCTCCAGTCCTAGGGCAGTGCTGGATCTTCCCTTTTACTAAACATATCCCATGCAAGCAGCCAGCAACAGGTGGCAGGGCCTGGCCAGCACCCCGATCTGGCTATTTTTAAAAAGAGCTTATCTCTTCCTAGTTGGAGGGTTTTTTACATAATCTTCAGCCAAGGAAGGCCAGTCCTTCCCCCATGAGGAGAAAGGGGCATTGGGCAGGGAATCCCTCAGAGGGAACAAGGGACAGGACAAGGGGAACTGGCCTCAAGTTGCATCAGGAGAGGTTCAAGTAGGACATCAGGAAGAATCCAGTATAAATTATCCAGGAGAAAACTAGTGAAAAAAGGGTAATTAGACACTGGAATGTGCTGTCCAGGGATGTGGTGGAGTCACCATCCCTGGAAGTGTTCTAGAAATGACTGGACATGGCACTCAGTGCTCTGCTCTAGTTGACAAGGTGGTGATGGGTCACGGGTTGGATTCAATGTCTTGGAGGTCTTTTCCAGCCTTAATGATTCTGTAATTCTCTGATTCTCTATATAAATATTTGAAGAAGTCTATTATAAATATTAAAATACATTGAATAAAAATATGAAGATAAATAGAATCAAAGTCTTTAACATGAAAATGTATTTAAAGTCTTTAACATTAAAATATATAAAGATATTAAAAGACCAAAACTAAAAACCTTTTAAATATTAAAAAGTCATCACAAAGCTACTCAGAATTGCCAAAATTAACCCTGGCTACCTCCTAAATGGGGTTGATTTCTGTCACAGGTCACTGATGGTGGCACCATCAAGCAGAAGATCTTCACCTTTGATGCCATGTTCTCTACCAACTTCTCCCAAATGGAGAACTATCGGAAAAGGGAGGACCTGGTGTACCAGTCCACAGTGCGGTGAGTCCTTCATGGCAATTTTGATTCCCTGTTTTCAGGAATTTTTCCCCATTTTGGAATAGTTGAGGGGATGGAACTGTTGGAGCAAGTCCAGAGGAGGGCACAAAGTTGCTAAGAGGGTTGGAGCACCTTCCCTATGAGGACAGGCTGAGGGAGTTG